AAATATTTTTGAATGAAAAGCATTGTCCTTTTGTCAAATTACAAAATAGTTAATGGCTGTTTAAATTAGCATTCTATATCGATTTGTCAAAACATATGAAAGAACTGAACTTGAGATTGCAAGAAGAAAACCAGCTTGTCTCTGATTTATACACTAATATCAAATCATTCCAGTAGAAAATAATACTGTTTCAATGTCAATTACGTAAAAAATGTTTCACACATTTAAAAACATGTAAAATATTCAACCACACTACTCAGACTGAATTTCCTTCATCTTGCAATCAAAGCTTTGAGTACTTTGAAGATAAATTTTGATAAGACTTTGATGACACTGCAAATGTTTTTCAAAATACTTTTGATACTGACATTGAAACCCTAGCACCCAAACTTCAAATGGAAATTATTGAACTACATATAAGTGAGAACAAATATTGAAACTCTTCTTTGTTGGAATTTTATAAGAGCCTTTCACTGGTACAATATGATAATTTGCATAAATTTGCTTGTCAGTTGTTTTCTGGTTTTGATACTACTTATTTGTGCGAGAAAACACTCTCCAAAATGAAGTACACAAAGAATGCTTAAGATCTAAGTTAACAGGTCGGCATCTTAAATCTCTTTCCATAATTGGTGCAAGTAAAATTGGTCCATAACTACAAATTATTGTCAGTGGAAAATCACAATTATATAAATCTCATTAATATTTTTTACAAATGGACACTTGTCGTTAAGCTTTACCTAGCAAGGAAATAAAACTGAGTTATTTTTAGCCCACAAGGTGTTAGCCCAGAAGGGCTATTAATTTTGTTTTTTCATTTCACTTTTTAAATTGTTGCCACCAAATAGTATCATCCTGTATTATATTTAAAGAAATTAAATAATGAAGACTCTGCATAAACGTATGCATATTTCTTGCTTTGTAATAAAACTACAGTACATAGATCCATCAAATTTTAAATAACGTACGTTTCTACCTGAATTCAGGCATCTGGAAGCCCAAATTTGGAATTTGTTTTATTACCTATTTCATATTTTGTAAACCATTTATGAGTTTTTGTTAACCAACTCAATGATTTCAAAGCAAGCAATGGCAACAATGCACAGAAAAAGAAAAAATTATTTTCAGCACGCGAGATTGTGCATCGGAAATTTTAAAAATAAGCTCTTTTTAAATTATTTTGTGATATTGCTGTTGAATTGAATTTAATCGTTTAAGTGCAAATAACATGATATTTTATAAATAAAAGTAACATACAAAATGCTAAAGAAAATCCCCCTTGGGTGTAATATAAAATCTGAAAACTTTCAGAATTTTAAATTATGTGCTTTTTTATCCAACTTATTACAGCAACAATAACAACAATAATTTCGAGCCGGATTGATGCCACTGGCAGGACAGATTAGGCCTGCAAGCCATAATTTGAAGACCCCTGGTATAAACCATGGGTTATGACTTTACAGAGAGTTCATTCTATATTTATATCAGCTACCATCTTTATTCTGTAAACAATTAATAACATGGAAACTAGAAGGTAATGAATAACAGTTTTCTGTGGAAAAAAATTAACTATTTATGCATTAAGAATTGCATTAACAATACAAAAGAAAAATAAACATGTATTAATAAAAAATTAATTTAAATATGATACGTGTCAATAAGTTTGCAATGGGAATTTTAAGCTATATAGTATTCAGTATGCAAATTAAATATTTGAATGCAAATTATCACCACTAAGTTTTTCAGAAAGCCATCTGTTTAAGAACTTTCCTTAGTACAAACAATATAAATATTATGATGCAAATGAAAGCAAATTAAAATAAATATTACTTTTAACACAGAAATAGGTAATGCTCCAGTAGTGAATAAATGACTCAATAAACGTGCCAGGTTATTCAACTGATAAGATTTCATCTTTGCTATTTCTTTAAACCTATCCCACAATGAGAACTGTAAACAGATCTGGAAAAAACAGAAACTAACATAATTTTAGATAATAAATATATTAGCTATTTTTAAATATTTTATTTGGTAAATAAACTACATACATTTTATTTCTGATATATGCATAGAAAGCATAAACTCAGCTTCACTTTTGAGATTTCAAAGATTGGATTGGTAACTGATTAATGAAGCCCACTTGGCCACCTGTGGAAGGCCTTTTTCTCATGCAAAGCTTTCTAAGAGAAATTATATTTATATTAAAATTTTCAAACCTAATTTTTCTATTGCCTAGTTCTATATCTTGACTATTATAAAGGTTAGTAATGCTGACTATTGCATTGTTAAATCCATGTTCAAATTCGGGAGAAGGAATGTATGTTTGTATGTATGCAATATGGGGGCATTTAAAATACTGGTAAGTTGAATATCTTTTAAGGTGGTTTATTGGTAAAAGAACAGGAGGGAGAAACCCCGGATCTGTCTCCCTGCACAGGGATTAGAACTCCCTCCATCAAAACCAGGATGGAATTGCACAGGAAGTGCAATGGGATTATACCTATATGACCAATGGTGAAATTCTGGTATCCTGCTCACTTCTACTAGTGCCTGATCCCTAGTCAGGGTTGCCACTCAAAGAGGAGAATGAAATTCCCTGACTTTTCCAGGTTTTCCAGGTGTGTTTTGAGAAAATTCCAATCTATCTGCATAGTGCACGTTGGCTGCGCTGAGAGGTAAATTAATTATGGTAACACAAAAATTTGCCAATTGTGTATGACTTATTACACAGTATAAAGTCTTTAATCCGGACTCATCGGGACTTCAGCGATTCCGGATTAGGGGTTTTTCCGGATTATAGATCCTCAATTTAAATCTGGTAAGATGGCATGCAGAAATTATAAAATTAAAAATATGAAACTGTAATTTATGAAATAAAGAGCAATTATGATCTAGAGGCATACTTGCCAACCTATGACACTAAAAAATCAGGAGATTTTTTTAAGAAATCAGGAATTTTTCTCAATGTTAAAAAGACTTTTTAAATGATGATAAAAATAGTTTTTAATAATGAATTAACTTTAAATAGTTACTAATTCTTAAATACAAGCAACACAAAAATACCTTACACATAAAAAACCATTTTTATTACTTGATCATCGTTTAAAAAACAAAACAAAAAAAAAAACAAAAAAGACATTTTAATCAGTTTTTGTACAAACGTTACGAACAGTGGCAGAATTTTGCTTTCATTCAGTGAAAGAAACTTCATAATTTTGTTCATAGCAATTGCCACACAGGACTGCTTTCACTAATAAAAGTTTTTCTAATGTGTCATCACTAATATTAGATCTAAATTTAGTCCTCATTTTCGCAACAACACTGAAAATCCTCTCACACTCTGCATTACTATGGTGGAACTGTTATAAGATGGCCAACATAATTCTAGACAGTTTCACTATATTTTTTAAAATTCCATCAGCACCTTTCAGTTTTCCAATTAAACTCCACTAGGTGTCAATCCTAGCTGATTTTATAACTTCCTCCAAGTTTTCTAATTGTAAACTGCAAAATTGAGACTACAATATTATCAGTGGCAACATCAATATTCATCTTTCATGACTAAATGAAGAAACACAGGAAATCTGTTCAAAAAGTACCTTATATCAGAAAAAGATGCATTTGCTAGAGCAGAAACATCAGCAACTTTAACATGCAAAATCACTTGATCGTTGACTGGAAATTTATGTAGTATGTAATCACATACTCGACAGAAGTAACTTCCTAACATGAAGGTAAATCTTATTTTTGTCTTCTTCTGAAAGTTCTTCTACTACTTTTATAGTTGCAGCTCTTATTACGAAATCTTCAGCTTTCTTCTGATTTTCTATTTCACCATAAATCACATCATATATAGAATTACAAGACAAAAACACAGACTGGTTTTACAAACTTTGATAAAATGTCTTTAAACAGACCATAAATCATTGATTGCAAAACATGAATTAATGGAATTCTGCTTTGTAAAACTGTGTTAAACAGTATTATGCAGCTGTTGGAACTGCTTCAATTTTTCCTTCCTTTTAGAACTCCTTTCAAGATAATAATAAATATCAACAATGTGTTCATCCACATTTATTGGTAAAGAAGCTGCCCTTTTTTCAGCTGCTGAATTTAAGAGGGGACAGGTGCACCTCATAATCTGCAAATCTGAATTTTCCTTTCTCAAGATGTCTGCAACACTAGTCTTCGAGCCTACTATTACTGGTGCATTATCAGCACCAAGTGCTAAGCAAATATCCAGAGAGACTGCATTTTCTTTTACAGTTTTACTAATTAGCTGTGCTATATTAAAGCATGTCGAATGTTCTTCTAAAGCGGGGACAGAAAGTAAACTGCACTCAATTTCTGAAGACTCTGGATTAAAAAAAGAAACAACAATTGGATACAGTTTTGAATCGGTATTATTGCTTCCATCAGTAGAGAGGCAAAACGGAGCTGTGTTAATGCAATCAATAACTGAAAGATTTATTTTTCAAACCCATTTCTTTAACAATTGCACCTCTTTTGGTCCTTGCACTTGAGTATTTCTTAGCGATTTCACTACCGGGAAAGCATTTTTCTAAATAAAGCTGCAGCATGATCCGATGCATTCAAGTGGCAGGTTGTGCTCCAGTAAAAAGGCAGAGAACAGACAATCTGCATTCTTTAATAACTTTTCGGTCCTTTGTTTCTGAAGAAAAATTTAATCTTAATTTTTTTTTTTTTCCCCCAAAACAAGCTCATGTTGTCCTTGTGTTTTTGTGTACACACATGTTTGAGAACATCTGCCCTTCCACCAAGCGAAATCAAAAAATCGCAACGACAGATGCGATTTTTTGACATCGCAAATTTATTAATTTCCTTGAGGAATAATGGAAGGAAAGTCAATTGTGTACAATTTTTGAAATTTAACTAGTATTTCACCTTTCTCACAGACATAACAAAAGATGATAATTTCTAAAACTATTTCCCGAAGGCACGAGTACTCACACAACTCAGGTCAAGATGAACGAAATAACTAAAGAACATACAAATAACAGCCTTGAGTTTGCTTTGTGTTCATTGGCTGATACATGCCAGATGACACGCAGTGGAGCTCGATGCCCATTGGAGAACTGGAGAACGACTTTTCTGGATACGTATGCTCTCACTCACAAAGCACAAATTCTCACCTGATTCGCAAGGTTTTGTTTTAGATATAATCTAGATAAAATTCAATTACTTTCAGACTTCCAAAATCACTTTTTTTTTTTTTTTTTTTTTGTTTGTTCATATAACGAAGTATTAAGCCAAGTTCAATAAAAATCGTGAGAAATTTTAAGAATAAGAAAAAGTTGGGAGAAATATAATGTAAATCGGGTTGGCGGAGAGCGGTCGAAAATCGGGAGAGTTGGCAACTCTGCCATTGATACAGGAGCCAATGCTACAATCATTTGAAGAGATTTGCCTCAACAATTGGAAGACGAACTCCTCTGGCCGCTGCCCTGCGTTACTCTTCAGACTGTGTCCAGGGATAAAATCCACATCGATGGAAAATTAAATGCTAACATCATGTTTGGACATCATGACATTAAATTAATGGAGTCTTCAGATAGGAAATCCACCTGCTGGGACATTTCAGTCTACAGTCCAATGACAAAACAATACTGGACTTTCTGAGACTCATTTCTTATTAAAAACGTTGTCTTGAACTGGGTGTTCAGATCAGATGAAGGAAAGTTATTCCTATGGCAGCTGATACTTCCAAGATCTCACATATGTCCTTAGAGAATTAAATAGCTCCAACAATTGGCCACTTCAGAATAATGAAAACTTTGCACTAAGTTTGAAAAAGCCTCTACTGGAAAAATGCAAGGGATGGCCTGCAAAAATTGTGCCAATCTTGCGATGTATCTTTCACATCAACCAAGGCCACCACAGTCAGTATTACTGAGACTTTGTTGGCTATTTTCCAGAGAAATATGCATCAGTGCTATTCACCGCCACCATCATTAACTGAATCTGCCAAAGTTTTACAGGAAGAATGGTTCAAGATTCCCTCGGAAAGCATAAAAGACCTTTATTTATCCATTCTGAGCAGATTGTAATCTCTTTTGAATGCCAACGGTTTTCCTATACTGTATTATATTTTTATTTTGGTGTTTATTCCAAACTGTTTTTCTAAATCATTAGTATAAAAACTGAATCTGTAAATTAGCTTGTAACTTGTACATTAAGACTGATTAAGTGTATTGCTATGGATAGGCAGTGCTTGCTGCAGTTTATATTGTCTTGAAATATTCATTAAAACTTCTCAGTGCCCAAACTAAAGCACTACATTTGGCAAGAAATCGAATTATATATAAAGGTACATATATATATATATATATAAAGGTATAAAATAATTAAAATTAGCAACATAAGATTATTACAGTGCAGAAATAGATTAAAAATGACAAAATCACATTGAGCCGGACAGTTGAAATCCTATTTGAAAGACACAATAGCAATCCAGTAAAATTTTACAGAATTCTGAAAATTATATCTTCAAATTTTTATTCGATGGAAGAATAATTGTGTGATTATTTTTGTTACATAATTATTCTCTGGAAGAAATAATAATTTTCAAACTCAATATTTTATTCTTGGAAAACAATTTCTAATAAGAGCACTACATAAACATATAATTCAAACAAAACAACTTTTTACAGATTTAGCTTGATGCATTTAATTTTTTTACATTATGTTCAGAAATTAAAGGAGTCAAATCGCTTTTGTGAAACAGCAAGGTTCTCACTAACCAATGAATTTAAGAGCTCTTTGCTAACTCTCAAAGCAACCACATGATAGTCTGAACACAGTTGTGGCAAACAAAAAATAAATTCAAAGAAAACATGAAATATACAGCAGCCGTTACCACATTTTTAGATGAATTTAATTGTATTTACAGAAGTATTTTACCTAAATTTTTTGTGTTTTAAATGCTCTATTTGATAACCCTTATTCTTCCATAGCTTTTTACACCATGATTTCAAAGAAAATGCTTTTTGTAGTATTGAAAGAGATATTTTATCCCATTCCTCCTGAAGAACTTTCCAAAGTCCAAGGAGAGATGTTGATTGACCTTTGGTCAGTCCCCCTTTCAAAAATCCCAAAATCTGTGGGTGATACATCAAGAAATTTAGTAGTGATATAAGCGAACAGCACAGCCTTAGTACCCATCACTTATTCTATTTTTTTCCAGAAAATTAACAATGGATTTTGACGTGCGGCTACTTGCTTTGACTTGATGCAATTCTATTGACTGATGGCTTTGTGTGTGAAGAGTAGTTAATTCATATTTGAAAAGTAGGTATAAAATATGTTCCTGATAATATGTGGAGTTGGTACAATCTGCCACTCTCTTTATTTTTAAATTTGCCGTTATGCGAAAAACCAACAACAATCATAAATCTCTTCGAAAAACTTTCTTCAGATTCTTTGAACCATGTTTTAAGATTTCTTAACCCCTTTGATAATAATAAATGGATCTTTTTTTATTACAGTTATTTAAATATACTCATGATTCACCTGTTTTGACATTTTTATATTTTTGTTCAGATATATGTTTCACATAAAGAATTCTGCAGTGCATTGGTGCTACGTCACGGAGAAAGACCACATTACTTTTTTCACCTTTATCAAATTCAAATCAGCAACCATTATGTTTACAGTTGATGGCAAGCATTTTAATGATTTTGTAATTGTTCTTTCATTTGACTACTTTCTTTTAATATTAAAAATCTTACCTCTGCAACCTTGAAAACATTCCTTTTTTTCCTTGGCTACATTATTTGGAATACTTTCTCAACATGAAATCAAACTTTGACATTTTTTTTTTTTTTTTTTTTTTTTTTGCTTTCTTCTTGACAATATTACCTATCACAGCTTTAGATATAGAAAAACCATGGTTTTCAGAGCATTTTTTTAATAACTAGATATGAACCAAATGTAAGCCATTCCTCTCTACATTATAATTTCATTCATCACCATGTACAGAACACAACATGGATATTTACAGGGCATTCATTCTATTAATGTACAGAGTAAATATAACATCTTAAAATAATAGGTGTCAATCTTCTATTCCCAATGAGTTTCTTTTCATATTACATACTGTTTAAAAATGGATGCTTTCTTTAAACAAAATTTTTCTAACTTAATTAAAATGTTGCATAGAAATAAATTGGGAAAAATCATACCTGATACTTTCTTGCAAAATTACAGAATCTTCCCAATAAGAACACATAGTATGGATTATAAGTTTTTTCTTGTAATGCACAATGTATAATAACATTTATAATTTCCCGCTCTTGTTGTTGCTTAAGGTTAAGTTTCAATAATTTCTCAAATGCATCCATGTAATCCTATTAAAATATAATGCATAAACAAATATCACCTTATAAATCTGTTTGGATATTTAATGATAAACTATTATATATTAATGAATCATTACCTCTGCAGTCATGATTATGCAAAAAATAGATTTGCGAGCTTCGGTATTCATGTGATGTCTCTGAGCTAATTCGAGTATTTTCTCACTTATGTGGGTTTTAGGCAATATACATGTTTGATCTTCAGGTTCTGTTTCTAAGAAAAAACAACATACATATATATATATATAAATTCAAAATAAATTAAAAGTAAATTAAAAAGCCTAATAGACGCTTTTAGCACTATTTTAATAATTTAATTTTAATTCTCTATGTATTATCACCAAGAAGATTTCCAATTTTCTCGCCAATTTAGGCTAAACTTTCTTTTAAATAGAAAACTGCACTTTTATGACGACCCTTTTTACTTCCATCACTTAATACTTGAATTTCCAGCCATTTGGTTTTAAAATTTTGAAGGCAAGTTTGTTATTTTAACATACTAGTTTGAACTTTAAATTTCTAATTAACTACATGTTTTGAAATTTAATTTAAATTTGTATCATTTTTTATCTTCTTATGATTTTGAATAAACTTTTAATTGTTTACTTCTGTTTTTGAATTTCATGAGAGTGTACGGGATATGCCTTTTAAAGTAAGCATCTCATAGAGATTAATTGTTTTCTTAATGAGAAACATTTATATTTTGCATATAACTGTCCCATATATTTTAAAGATGATTGATGATATTTTATTTAAGTTTTACTAACAGTTGGCTATTGATTCTTTCTTTAATGTATCATTTCATCATGCCTGCTTCAGAGGTCTATGCAGATTACATGTCAAGTGGCATAGATTAAAATAAGAAGTAAAATCATAATCAGCATGATTCTTTACCAAATGCCTGGTTGTTGCAATGCTACTACTTCCTAAGTGAAAGAAAGATGGGGGAGGATGTTGATCAGACTAGATGTAAATGATTTTGGAATGGTTAGTAAACGTTGAAAGTTAGTCATACTATGTCTGTCTGACCCAGTTAGTTTTTCAGTTTTACACAGAGTTATTGAAGCTGTAACCCAGATAACATACTGTGAAGTTCCAAAAAGCCACTGCAGCATCAGTGGTTAAAAATTGTTTTATATTATTTTAAGTCTCATTAACTGTATGGAATAATGTTTTATATTAATTTTTACACTTTATGTTGTATCTTGAGTCCCCACTAAGGGTTAAGAAAAGGCAATAACTCACTTTAATGCAGACAAGGTAACTTCTAACATTGAGCAGTGAGTTACAAATAATTAATTAGGTAGTTAGTTATAAGTATGTATGGGAGCTTTAAAAAATTTTTTTATTAAAAAATATTCATTAAAAGTACAGTAGAAGTCCAGAAATCCGCAAAGCTTGGGACCAGAGGTTGTGCGGATTTTAGGATTTTGCGGATTTCAGGACAGAAAAGATAAAGCATAATATTCGGACTAAAAGTGCAAAATAAATAAGGCGTATTAGATACATTTAATTAAATTATTATATACATTATTGCAATAATTTATTATATGCATTAATTTATTATTACATATATAAATTGATTATGTTATTCATTGTTATTATATGTGCACAGCATCGAGGTTTGCCGATTGCGCCTCATGTAAAGATTTCCGGTTTCGGATTCCGGTGTTAGAATCACCGTTGCTGTAAAATTTCAGCAGCTTTTCTTTATTTTTTCGTATATCATACACAATCGTGTCGCAATTTCATACCATTCTGCTATAAATCGAGTAGTAGCACCTGTCTCCATTTTTTGCAGAATTTGCACTTTTTGTGTTACCGTCAATGCAATGTGTTTACGTTTTTCAACGTTGCAAGCAGTAAAATCATGAGTGTGTTTCCTTATCTGTCATTGTATTAAAAAGGGCTGAAATTTAAAATATTCTTAATTTATCCAAAAAATATCAGGATAAAAAAAGGCAGCACTAAACAATCTCACGAAATAACAAAGCTCAGAAAATACAACAATGAGAATCGTGAACTTGAACGAAGAGTGAATCGTCTGCTTTTTTACCTCAATGCAAAGATTAGAAAAAAAATTTATCTTATTTTTTTATGGCAATAATTTGGTATTTTCGTTATGACTTTTTATTATTCGGTACTTATGACGTTATTATTCGGTAAGTATTTTTCTTCAATATTTCGTACTCAATGTTGCGGTTTCCGGAACCTATAAACTGAATGTTTATACTTTGAGAGACAACGCGGATTTCAGGTCGGCAGATTTTCGGTATTTGACTGTATTACAATCTAAAAATATTTTACAATTTAAAAGCACAGATAAATACACATTTAATTTATGACATTAATTCTAAAATAATATTAGGAAAATTTAAATTGATTCTAAAATTGTATTAGGATAATTATACAGTAAAAGTTATAAAACACATACGTTTTGCAACAACAATATAAAAGGAAATATTTATGCGTCTTTTTAATTTGAAAATGTTCCACATATTTTAGTTAATTGATATCAATTTCCTTCTCTTTAACATCTTTTCTAAATTTGTTTCCTTCAGTAAACAAATCAATGATCTCCATAATCTCTACTTCAGTGTTTCAAAAATATATCTTTGAAGAACAATTTCCTTTCTCTTTATGTAATTAATTTCTTCCTGAGTAAATTTCTTCTTCATTTTAGAATTTTCAGATTTAAGTAAAGATTTCTGTTACACTAAATGTCTTCACGCATTTAGAAAATATAGAAGCAGCAGCTATAGTATGAGTATTGTGAATAAATATGAAATGATAAGCCATCATCAGAGCATCACAGCCAGTGTGCCAGAATTTTTATAATTTAGTACAGCCCTGAGCAACAAATTTTAGAGACAGCAAAAATTTTAGAATTCAGGACAGGCATTCGAAAACAAAATTACAAACCCACAAAGAATGCAATAGGCAGCAAAATGTTTAGATCCAGCCTTGTGTATAGTGCACTAAAACATATACAATGAATCTTATAAATTATCAGTTTTCAAGTTCTTTATTAACAGAAAAATTCCTTTATACAGATAACTATTTGTGTAACAAGGTTAGAGGCCATTTTTGCAATTTTCAGTGCTTGATTCATTAACATGACATATTCATTAATTCTTTATTGTTCTGTGCCTTCCTAATCTTGATGTAGTTAACTAGATTAAGAACCATTTTTGCAATTTTCCACGCTTTAATGTCTTTTTTTCACTAAGATAAAGATATTAATTAAGAGGAAAAATTCTAGCACCAAAAATAAAAAGAAATTCATCATACACTTCCTTCAAAACACGTCTGACATTTTCCATTTTGTAACATTGTTACGAATTTTGCGCATAGATAGGTAAATTTTATTGCAATTATATTTTTTTTTTTTTTTTAATGTAACATGAAAAATTGAGGGAGAGAATCTATGCTGGAAAAATAAGAATACAGGGGAAAGCCTGTTTAACATTTAGTGAAATGGTATCTCGATAATATGGTGAGATACTGACAAGTTGGCAACAGTTTTGGTGAAAAATTGCCAAAACTAGCCAATCTTGACGACATTTTGGTCAGGTCCCTATATCAGTGTAATAAGTATTGTAATTGAATAAATGTAATTGGTTGCTGTATTAGCTGTAACCATAATTCAATCCTCATATTGCCTTCCAGTAATTCCAATAAGCAGAAAGTACTAGAAATATCTTGGTGGCTGGGTGAAAACTATGTAAGGCTGGTGAGAGCATCTGCTCTCAGTTGTTCTTTTTAGCTATTAGCTGAGCGTGAGTTTGAAGTACTACCTCTGGTTTAGCTTTGCATTGCTTTGTGTTTAATGTTCATAGTAGTTTAAAGTGTTATTGATTGTGATGAGTTGTACAACTATTTTCGTAGAAAATTCCAAATCTCTGACGTGTGCCTTTTGCTACAATAAATTTTATAAACCTATCACCAGAGCTGCGTGCATTCAATCTATTACGAATCTGTAACATGCAATAATATTTTTATGAAACCTTCTGTCTACAAATCTTGCCTTCAAATCCTTTCAGAAACCAAAGCCAGAATATTTTGTTAAAAAAAAAATTCAGAAGAGAAGAGAATTTCACAGAGAAAATGAATATTCTAAAACAATTCAATGGAGAAAACTTTTATGAAAAAATATAAAAGAAAACAAATAAAATTATAATTAATTTAATTGCAGCAACTTTTTTTGATTTTCCTGAAAAATATTTTAGAACCTGTGTATTTAGCAAATCATTTATTTTTCAAAATTAAACATTCCTAACTTACCAGAATGGCAAGCAATGCCACTTTAAAATATGAGAGGGAAAAGTGAAAATGTTTAATTTGAATACTATTTCTTAATTTTAATAGATTATCATTATTTTAATGATATCAAACTATGTTATTATGTTTGCGAAAATTAAAAATTGTGTAAAAATTCACAAGTATGCAAATCAAAATGTTGTACACAAACTGAACTTAAACTGACCAAATGTTGATAAGTTAACAAATTTAACACTGCATAATAAATGTTTCATTTCCCAAAAAGTCTACAAAAGGGAATAGTTGTTTTTAAATTTTGAACTCTTCATTTACAGATAAGATATAATTTAAAAATGTTTATGTTTCACTCAAGGTAGGGCCTCATACCTAGAAACTTGAGTATCGCACCATTTATATTAGAAATGGGAATGAATTGAAATTAATGACCTTTTACTGAATTTATAAGAAATTACAGACTTTTAAGGACTAAATAACCTAAGGACTTCTAAGGACCACACAAACCTTGTTCTGTAATGAAATGGAGGTTCCAAACATTTTTCTATTATTATGACAACAAACCATTAACTCTTTAAAGTTTTTATCATAGTAATAATCTATGCTCCTGTAAGCTAATAGGTTCTTGATGACTTCAGGCAACATAATGTTTAAGCGAGTTTAAAAAAAAATCATATTTCACATTAAATATAGGTAATTATGTTTGGAGATAATCTTCATTAGATAAAGTCACAAACTTTAATAAAAATATTAATAGAAAATAAATTTTTAATATAGTAAAAAAAAATGTAATACTTATAGGTTAGAAAATAGGACTATGGTAGAAGCTAAAAATTACAATACTTGGCTTTAAATATTTGTCTACCAGTAGCGAACATGTTACGAAACTCTGCAAAGCACAAGAATAAAAGGTACTCCAAAATATCATTACTAGGTAAAATACGAATCTATGTGTCCAGAGATGATGAGAACAAAATGCAGAGCAATTGACATACGTATCTGATGAACTTCAATATTTTCCCCCCATTTGAGTAATTATATTGCATATGACAGTTATATGTTACTTATCGTGGTCAACACCGCCAGGGGGGAGGGTCGACGAATAGAACTATGCGAAGTTACTCGCACGCAATCTCGGCCATACGAGTATAAAATTTATGAGCCTAATGGTTCTGAAGGCCCCGGAAAGGTCCCTTATTGGCCGGCCCGGTGGTCTGGCGTGTCCTAGAGCAGAGTGGCTCTAGTAGCCCGGGAGGTAGCGTCTCAGGTTTGCTGGGTAATGTCCTTCTGTGACAGGCAGCTTGAGCGACTGGCAGGTAGCATCTAGACGTCCAGCATTGCCGTATGCCTATTAGTGTCAATGTCTCCAAGGTGTGGGGAAGGGGGTTGAACCTCCGGAACTGTTCTGAGGGTACATTGGCTGTGTAGTGCCGGCATCAGGCAAGGATAAGCACGTAAATAGAGAACTGGTTATCATAGATGAAAAAAAGAAGTTGGCCCGCTCATTGCTATTATTATCTTACAAACACCGAAGTAACTGATAAAAAATTGCACTGAAATTAATTTGTAGCCTCATTCCAAATACTGAATAGACCACAAGTATGAAATATTCTTACCATATACTTTATTTATTTATTTTCTACTCGCAGCTTCACTGCCAGCCTTCGTCTGGCTTTTAAATGTACCGAAAAAATGGCTGAAGGGAATACCAAACGCTAAATTTAAAAACTGCTTAGAGTTTTACTCAGCAGAACAACTTTATAAAAAAAAGTTATTACGTATAACAAAATTACAATGAAATAAGCAATATCCCTTAATACTTAATTATCCTAATAAATAAATTAACCAATTTCCCTTTGCAAAATCTTAAGAACTCAAATGGTACAAAGGAGGTTAAGAACTTTGTTTCCTAAAAAAATTACTCAAAAATTTTCAATATTTTAAAGACAGTGAAATTAGCAATAAATAGCATAAAAGAATACAAAAAACAAAAAAATTCTGAAAAGCAAAGTATAATTAATGATATTTTATCTTATATTTTCAAGAGAAAAAAATTACAATGAAATAAGCTATATCCCTTAATACAAATATTAATTATCCTAATAAAAAATTAACAAACTTTCCGTTGAAGGAAAATAATCATGCAAAACTTTTCAATATCTTAGAAATAGTGAAGTAAGCAAAATATAACATGAAACTCAAAAAACAAAAAATTTGCACAGAATTTTACTCTGCAGAACAACTTTATCCCAAAAAAAAAAAAAAAAAAGTATTATACACTGCTCGACATTTAAAATGCAACACCAAGAAGGAGTGGTCAGAAAGTGATGAAATTAAAAAAAAAAAAAAAAAAAAAAAAAAAAAAAAAAAAAAGACCAGAGACAGCAAGCAGCAATAAGTGATTTTTATTTCAAAATGATAGTCAGAATACAGAGTGAGAACGGCGGCGTCTCAGTAGGATGTAGAACCACCACGGACAGCGATGCAAGAAGAAACACGTCTAGGCCTAGAGTCAATAAGAGTGTGGATGGTGTCCTGAGGAAAGGCTCTCCATTCCCTTTCAACCATTTGCCACAGTTCGTCTTCTGAATAAGGCAGGGGCAGAGTCTGCAAAGAGCGTCCAATCACATCCTACACATGTTTGATTGATGTCAGGTCGGGAGAGTACGGTGGCCAGGAAAGCATCTGTATACCTTGCAGAGCATGTTAGCAGATGCGAGCACTGTGTGGTCGGACATTATACTGCTGAAAAATTGCATTAGGCAGCCCCTGAAGGTAGGAGATTGCCACCGGCCGCAGTATATTATCCAAGTATCGTTGGGCCATGATAGTGCCCTGAATACAAACTAGAGGTTACCTGGAATCGCAGGCAATAGCGCCCCAAACCATTATACCATGCTGTTGCACGGTAGGGCATCCCACAGTTACTGCCGGATTAGATCTGTCTCCATGTCGACGCCACACACGTATGCGGCGACTGTCACTGGACAAACAGAAGCGTTACTCATTTGAGAACACGACGTTCCACCATTCTGTCATCCACATTGCTCCAGTCCAGCACCATTCTATACTTTGCCGTCTATGCTGTGGGGTCAATGACAGTTTTCTTAACGGACACCGTGAGTGCAGGCTACATTCAACCAATCAATGGGAAATGGTTCTGGTCGACAAAGGAACATCCAGGGTATCTTGCATATGCTGCAGAATCACGGTACAAGTGACTTGCGAGACCGCCACAGCTTGTCGGTGGATGCGTCGATACATGCGTGCTGACGTCACTCTGGCTGCACCTGCACCCCTTCTTCTTCCCACATTTCCTTGTTACAAACATGTTTGCCATAGCCGATGCACCGTGCTCACATCCATGTGGGTATCAGCTGCGATTTGACGTAAGGACCTACCCGCCCTTCTCAGTCCGATCACCATACCCCTCGTAAAATTCTCTATCTGCTGGAAGTGCCTTCGTTGACGGCGGCCTGGCATTCTCTCCTATTACACGTATCCTCCGGGACAAAAACCAACTTTCTTCAATAATTCATCTGGCAGAGATAATGACATGAATATTGCCCATTCTGCACGTTCCTTCCCTCATATCTTATTTCACGTGCGTTGGAGAGCTGCGCATTTCACATCATATGCATAACTCAGTGACGTGCGTCTAATCTAAAATTTGCATAAATTTCTGACCACACCTTCTTGGTGTTGCATTTTCAATGTCGAGCAGTGTATATATATATATATATAAATGACAATAAAATATGCCAATCTCTTAAAAACAGTGACATATGAAATACGATGAAAAATTGTTGCCAAACCCATATTTCTAAAAGAATGAAACTATTCAAAATGATGCGATTTCATCAAAAATCTATCAACAACAATAAGAAAGGAAAACTGTTATCAAAATCACATTTTTAAAGATGTGAGATGTGAGAAGTGTACTCGGAAGCTTCATTTAAAAGTTTTTTTAAAAATACAAAATATTATCATTTTTCCAAAATTCTTTTTGTAAAAGCAGTCGCAAGAATGAAAGTTTAATGTGTCCAAAAATCAAAGAAAAATAAACTGTACGTTTTTAAAAATAAACTTTTTTAGAAAAAATCCCGTGAAAAGGTGTTAAGCTCACTTTGTTTAATAAATTCATATTTAATCGATTTATTGAAACACAAAATTTATTTTAAGTTCGTAAAATAACTAAGTGCCTACGTTTCATGATGATGTGAAAATGGAGTATGTAGAGTAAAATCTCGCTTTCCTATAGCCCATTATGTCTCAAAATGACGCGATTTCATCACAAAACATAAAATTTAAAAAATTCTAACTCGAATTTTGAAAAAATTGCTTCAAGGTGCACTGGCTCTTGTCTAGATGTCTAGATGCACACCTCACCACCTGTAATATATTTCGTAGCCGTGGGTCTATTAGCTTACGCACAGCGTAAACAAAAGACACACTGACACACACACAGACAGACTCTTTCTTATGTAGAGACTTAAATTACACTGAGAGACTATTATGATACATTCATAAAAGATATTTTCTTTATGAATGATTATGATTATTTGATTAGTATTGTTGAGTAACTCAGCAATACTAATCAAATATGAAATGCTTTAACCATTTAAAAACATAGTAAAACTTACTATTGTCAGTATTATGCTCAGACCATGCAGATCCAACAATCCACCAACGACCCCTTTCATCAGCTTTCTGTAAATCCTCAAATGATATTGCTAATTCCTGAATCGAACAACCTAAATTATAAAAAAAAAAAAAAAAAAAAAAAAAAAAAAAATCTTACAATGATCTCATGAAATGCAGGTTTGGTTAAGATTTCAGTTTTCATTTCTCATTCCATTCGAGATAAATATAGTTCTTACATTCCATTTGATAGATGATTACTTCATAATTTAACACTTTTAACGATGAATAGAGAACTCACTTTAATTTCTAGCGAAACGAAAAATGAAGATTACTGTTTAATTTCCATTGCTGAAGTACTGAGATGGGATAAAATGAAACAAAGTTTTAATCAGTAGTCTAGATATGCAGAATATTTATGAAATGGAATGAGGGAGATGGCAGAAACCCTGACAGTTTACACAATTGATTTAAAAAAAAATTGCATTTTAGTGTGTCAGTTTATATTATATGCTTTTTAATGCATTTGATACATATCTACAGCTTTATGTTAATATTACAAAATTTAAAAACCCAATTTGACAAATGCAATATTAACATTATTTTTCTGATGCATTTAATATAAAACTAAACTCTAGTCTTAGTCAAATTAGAAAACTTTACAGTAAAATATAAAAAATGTTTTATACAGGACTACTTAGAAAGTACACTGCAATTATCAAAAAGTACAAATTTCAAGAAGAAAGTATCTTTTATATATTCCATAAGAAAAATTTTATTTAATTTAAATAAATTAATTAAATTTAAATATAAATTTAATTAAATAATTCTTTGCGCCATTGCTGCAAGGAATGAAATTTAAATTTAAACAAATTAAATTTAAATTTTAACATATACGTATAAAAGTAAAAAAAGCAAATTTAAAGCCAAAATTAAAAAAGCAAATTTAAAGCAAAATAAATAAATAAGTAAATAAAATAAAATAAAATAAAAATAAAAATAAAAAATATGTAAACATATAAAAGATTTAATTCTCGAACTAATCTACAATATCATTTAAATTCAGAAGCATAAGCAAATCAAGTGCAAAACCAATCCATGAAAATAAATTCACTAATTTAGCAAATTAAAATAAATTCAAACAATTTTATTAAAAATGCATAAGTGAATGACTGTTGAGCAGGCAGGAGACAGACTTATCAAAGAAAGTTGCCTCCAAACCTAACTCTCCAATAATTCAATTCGTGGTTCATCATTCATGCAGGCAAGGGTAAAAGTCAAAACCAAAAGTAAAAAGTGAAGAATGTCCAAAAAGAAATACCAATAAAGTGGTACCCTTAGAAATTAGCATTTAAGAATTAAACTTTTAAAAGGAAAATACTAATTTTTAATCTTTTGAGAAACAAGCAAATAAAGTCAAGTATTAAATTAAACTAAGCAAACATGGGGGAGGGGAGTTAAAATTTAAAATTATAATTTATCGTTAAAATTAAAACTTGAATTACATACCTTTAGGATTTTTAGTTTTTAATTCTTTTTTATATATTTTAATATTAATGTTTGCAAAAAATTTTTAATATAACAAAGATAGCAGCTTGGCACTCAACTTTACCTACATAAGCACCATCTATATAATTAATTTGAAGAACACACTTACTTCTCTTTTAAAACACTTTTGCAGACCCCAACGCTCATTTAGTAGGTAAGTTAGAATTAAAACTTACTATTTACTTGCTTTAAGTATTTTTAAAATTTTTTATGTAGTATTTAAGTATTTTCTAGATATGAAATTTTATTTTTTAGTATATATTTGTTTCTTAAAATTGTGAATTAGTTCTTTATGTTTCTTATTGGTTTCTATGGATTAGGTTTAGTTCTTTTTAGTTTCTTTTTATTGATATGCATATTCGTGTCGGGAAGGTTCCTGTAGACAAGGGTTTCTAAAATACATTAGTTTCTAGATTATTTTTTATAAAAAATTTATTTTTTAAAAAAAAAAAGTTTAATTTAATACTTGACTTTACTTGCTTGTTTCTCAAAAGACTTCATTAGTATTTTCCTTTTAAAAGTTTAATTCTTAAATGCTAATTTCTAAGGGTACCACTTTATTGTTATTTCATTTTGGACATTCACTTTTTACTTTTGGTTTTGACTTTTGCCTGCATGAATGACGAAACACGAATTGAATGATTGGAGAGTTAGGTTTGGAGGCAACTTCCCTTGATAAGTCTGTCTCCTGCCTGCTCAACAGACATTCACTTATGCATTTTTAATAAAATTGTTTGAATTTATTTTAATTTGCTAAATTAGTGAATTTATTTTCATGGATTGGTTTTGCACTTGATTTGCTTATGCTTCTGAATTTAAATGATATTGTAGATTAATTCAAGAATTAAATCTTTTAAATCTTTTATATGTTTACATATTTTTTTAAAATTTTTTTCCCCCTCTTTAAAGTTGCTTTTTTAATTTTGGCTTTAAATTTGCTTTTTTACTTTTATACAAGTTTGTTATATATTCCAATTATAATATTAAAAAATCAAAACTAAAAAGGCACTTATAAAGCTAAAAGTGCTAGCAAACATTGTCATAATTTTGCATTCTGTGACGTGAAAGGCATGGAAAAAAAAATAAAACTAATTATGCCAGTTCTCTTTCTAATGCGCTTTAGATTTCTATCTCATTTCTGATTATATATATATACTTATTTTTAATAGATAAAATTTTAGAGATCAATAATATTAAAGTTTTAAGTTTAAAAAGTTATTTTTTCTAATAAATTGATCATTCTGTCTGTCATAATTGCATGGGAGGTTATTTTGTTTAATAAACAGATAATTTTATCGGTCACACTTGGTTATACGTAGGCTAAAGATTTCACTGCTTACACAAAATAAAAATTTAAAAAACATACTGATCATCATGCATACAGAAGTAATAAATTGGACTGGATTACTTGATTCTAACAAAGCATGCAAGTGTTGTCTGCCTAAGAAAAGGGATAACTTCACAAGGGACTTTGTAAAAGAAACTAGCCTGTAACTGTCAATAACAATCAGTGACAAACTGACTGAAATAACACACTGATACACACACACAAATATATATATATATATATATTGAGAACTATTACACTATTTCAGCTTAACCAACCCCATGACTAAGGGAGGAGGACAGAACAAGTGATGAAAAAATAAAAATTCCAAACAAAATGTTGAGCATAAAAATCAAGCAAAATATTTATAAAAAAATTTGTATAAATATTATAACTCAGCAATACGTATTCAATTTTAGCAGAAATATAAATTATACAAATAATAAAACTGTAACAAAAATTTAGAGTAAAAATTTAAAAATATAGTTATTAATACAAATATCTTTCTCTTAAATGCAATCCTATCATCTCAGTTTACTGAGAGCTACTATTAGTTTTCTTTAATAAAATCTAAGGGAAATTCTCCAGTTACTTTGCATTTCTCTGCACGGTGATTTCCTACCAGATTGACAAACTTGAAGGGTACAGAGAGAGATGACTCGGAATCACATACAAATGCAGGATTGCAAATGCCGTAGTTGCGAGCTATGATGCAAAGAAGCATAGGAAAAGAACAGTACCAGAAACACATTTTAATGAGAGATAAAACATTTTATTGAAAGGTTGTACTACAACAGGTGTTTGAAATTATGACCAGAAGTTGTTTGGCATGACTGAGAAAGGCGCTGCATGGAATTCCTTATGTTCTGGAAGATTTCCGGGCATGTCATGTATCCTCCTGGCAGCTACAGATATTCGAGTGACGAGGTCAACTGAAGGAACGGGCATCTTGTACACCAAACTCTTCATTTTTTTCCAGAAGTCCATGCATGATAGGTTTGGTGATCTGGCAGGCCAATGAACCGGGCCACCATGACCTATCCACTACTGTCCAAAGGTTATGTCAAGGTGTCGACAGACGTCAATTGTGTTATATGGAGCTGCCCCATCATTGCTGGTACCACATGGACCTACACCAGACCTATCATGCATGGGCATCTTCTTCTGGGGTCTAATGAAGAGTTTGGGGTATGACATGCCCTTTCCTTCAGATGAAAATTTCATCATTTGAATATCTGTAGCTGCTGGGAGGAAGTGACATGCCAGGAATCTTCTAGAAGATAAGGAATTCGATGCAGCGCTCCTTTCAAGCCTGCCAGACAACTTCTGGTTGTAATTTTTAATCACCTGTTGTAGTACAACTTTTTAATAAAATGTTTTCTGGTCCATTAATGTGTTGCTGTTTCTATTCTTTTTCTCAGCTTCATAGCTCGCAACTACAGCATTTGAGACCCTGCATACCTATGTGATTCTGAGTCGTCTCTGTACCCCCTACACACACTGCAAGTTTGTCAGTCTGGTAACAAATCACCCTGTATATATATTAGTCCATCAGTCATTCAAGAGTTGCGTTGGCTCTCCTAGCTAGTTATGTTAGCTAGACTCCTTCCTACCTTTATTTTCTCTATGTATATGAGTATACAGTACACAGTGATGCAAAAATTAGAGAATGGTGAGAATGAATGCTGCATTCCACATATTAAACTGATTCAAAAATAAGGCCAAAGGAAACAAATTTATGAAATTTAAAATCTTTCAAAAGCTGATGATAAAGAAAAAAGTAAGGAAAACAGAATTTATGTAATATAGTCATTGTACAACTTAGATTACATAAAAAAATAGGTTTCAGCCTTCAAATATGATGTTTTACTGTGTTACCATAGCTAAGCCTTAGCAATAATATCTGAATAGTGAGAATGATGTTGCCATATTCAGCATGCATCAATGCTTTAAAAACTTACAAAGTCGCAGCATTGCCTCAAAGTTAAAAAATTGGTGAACAATTAATACTGGACACTCTAACTGTATTATAGTTTCATAGAAAAAGTACACATTTCAATGGAACAGACAATGGGATCAATAAATCTACATTATTTTGAATGAAAAAAAAAAATCTTCTTCAAGAACCAGAATCTTTTTGCTCCTTGAAAAAGGTCTGTGCTAATCCGTTGAACCGCAATGCTTGGCTTTTTTTTTTTTTTTTTTTTTCAAACAATGAAAGTAAATTTGTGTCTAGATTTAAATTTGATTTTCACATGCTTTTCTTCTATGGTTTAATTTTTAACGGTATAAACATAATTCTATTAAAGTTCTCTCTGGTTTGAAATGCATACAATTCCAATCTGATCGTATTTTGCTCAATGGTTATCTCCACAGAAAGCACTGAATATTCAATCACTCAGTGTATAAAGGACTTCTGAAGAACATACTAAGCATTTTAAAAGCAGTAATTATAAGAAAATATATCTCTATCACTCATTAGAAGTCTATCACTCTAAATGACATACAAATTAACAGTAACTTTTATGAAATTTACCTTTTCGCATAATTCCTTTCAGGTATTTCTTGCTCTGTTGTATAATATTTGGATCATAATCAGGAATCTTGTACATATTATTGTTGCGAATAGCAGTTAGAGTTTCAAGCATGTATCTCACTCTTAAACTTTAAAAGAAAAAATGAATAAATTATAAATTTCAGACATACAGCTTTTAAACAGTAATCGTAATTTAAACCACTTATTATCAACTGCAAAATCCAATAAAAAAAGAATGCATAGCAATTGGCATATGTCAAGGATATTCTTAGTGTATAATACAATATATAAGACAAAAATAGAAATCAAGTTCTAACTTTAATTGCAATAGCCCTACAATCCCATTTTAAATTGGTTACATTCCCTTCCTGTACAAAAAATATAATTGTTTATAAATATAATCTAAAGTGTGCCATCTCAAAATTAATCTGCATCATACCATATGTAAGTGTACCAAGGCATATACAGTCAAAAGTCGTTAATTCGGACACCCATAATCCGGACCTCAAAGCTACAAACTTTCTGCGCATGCGTCAACGCATAGGCGTTAAAGTATGCGCTTAAGACCTTTATGGCTGCGAATATGTGTGTGCGCGTGCGCATAAAACGTTTACGCATACACGTTTAATGTATAACGGACGGTATAAGCTAAGCTCAAAATCTAATTCAGTTAATGTGCAGATGCGTTTTCCTTAAATCTTCGAATGGATCCGGCTTATTATTTTTTGCAGACTGTTAGAGCAATTTATAAAAGTAAGTTGAACTTTCGATTATATCAATAGAATTCCGATATATATTTGCTAATATGTAAAGGATCTAAAGCGAAAGTATATTTCGAAATACGAAATCTGTTTATCAATTTCACGCTGCTCGGCCGGGGGGGGGCACCACGGCGCGCAGCGAATTGGAAGTTGATCTGTCAGCACTATCCTTATCTTCAGGGCAGATGTTTTTATTTTATTTGGCTTATAATTCCTTAATAAATGTAGTACTTCATCTCGATGTGCTCCGTCTTTCATATGATTTAAAACAAGTTCCTCGTCATTATAATTCGCTTCCGATAGTGAAGAAAGTGACAGAGGTTATTAAAAGAGGAAAAAATTTCGATTGCCAAATTAGTCGGTATTCTCGACACAGCAATTATAGGACTTGAACAGCGGAGCTTTGTAACTAAACAAGAAATTATGTCTGTTTAATAGAATTAAAGAGAAAGTATTATCACATGAAACGAAGCAACTTAAACAACTTACATTGAAAGAAATGTTTAAAACAATAAAGTAACAAATAAATATTAAGCTTTTTATTTTTGTAAATTTTGATACCCTTTAGATCATAATTGTTCTTTATTTCATAAATTACGGTTTCATATTTTTAATTTTGTAATTTCTGCATGCCATCTTACCAGATTTAAACTGATGATCTATAATCCGGAAAAATCGATAATCCGGAATCGCCGAAGTCCCGACGAGTCTGGATTAACGAGTTTTGACTGTATATATAAGTGATGTACCAGCTTTTGTCCAGAATAAATAGATTGGTGAAGAATCATAGATGTAGTCGTAGCTTAAATTATCAGACGATAAGTTTAAAAAACAGGATCCATTTATAATATTTCAGGAGAAAATAGCAGTTACAAAAATTAAGATCTCTGGAGTAAATACAAAAGAACTGCTAATAACTTTTTGTATTAAGTTTACTGCATCGTTACATTAAAGAAAAGCTCCGATATTCCTTTGCGAGTCCTTTTATAGCCTTTGGAAAGGCAGAGCTTCCAAGAAAATGACGTCAGCCATTCCAGTTCGCTTTAAATATTTCCAGAACATTCTATAACTGTACGTGTAGAAAAGGCAGGAAAAACAACTTGACTACGGGGCTGTGGATTTAATTCCACGTACTTTCAAATAAGAGACCATCGCCATTAAAAATGAAAAGAACATACAGTTAGAATTTTAAGTGTATTCTTGACTATGGAAATTTATTATTACATTTATTATTGATTTATTATTAGAGTTTCAAGCATGTATCTCACTCTTAAACTTTAAAAGAAAAAATGAATAAATTATAAAATTTCAGACATAAAGCTTTTAAATAGTAATGGTAATTTAAACCACTTATTATCAACTGCAAAAATCCAATAAAAAAAGAATGCATAGCAATTGCATATGTCAAGATTATTCTATAGTGTATATATACATATATATAAGACATAAAATATAAAACAAGCTTCTAACTTTAATTTGACAATAGCCCTGTCAATCCTCATTTTAAATTGGTTACATTCCCTTCCTGTACAAAAAATATTAATTGTTTATAGTATATGAATCTAAAGTGTGCCATCTCAAAATTAATCTGCATCATACCATATGTAAGTGTACCAAGGCATATATATATCACTTCCTCTAGAAGAAATTTATATTAGTCTACTAGATCTGCCTAAACTCTTCCCTGATATGCTCACGATTATGAATCTTAATAAATGGAAAACCTACCTAAAATGTATACTTTTTCATAACTACATCAAATTTCAAAATCAACTTTTTAAACAAATCAGAGGTCTTCCAATGGGATCCCATTCCAGTACCTCTCTCTGCAATATCTTTTTATTTATCAAAGAATTTAACTTCCAAAAAAATCTAAAACCACAAGAATTAAATTACTACAAGCACATTTACAGATATATTGATGATCTTATTACAATTAATAATTTTAATAAAACTGAACACTCCGAGATTTATCCAAATTGCCTTACACTTAATAAAACTAATAATTTGCAAAATAACATAGACTATCTAGATCTTCAAATCATTAACTACAAAAAAATTTTACTTTTTGACAAAACAAGAAATTTTAATTTCAATACTAACAAATTAATAAATTGGAATTCCAACATATCCAAAAAAGTAATTAACAATACAATAATGAATCAAATACAACGAATTAAAAATATCTGCACAGATATACTATAGATCAGCAACGTGAAATTTTGCTCCTTATTAAAATTCTCAAAAATAATCTAATACCTAATCAATTTATTAACCATTGCCTAAAAAGAGCAGGCGTTATATACTCACTCTAAATCATTTAACTGATAGGAATATGATAATTTGTTCCTAAACCTGAGAAACCAACTAAAGGTGGTATAAGTTGGATGACTATCAGTTGAAGGATTTGTACATAGTGTAATTACAAAGCTGTATATAATGTAAAAAGCTAATTGTCTTCACACTTATGCTGTTACTAAAAAAATGGGCCTATTTCATAATCTTTAGTCTGTCAAATAGCTCTTTGACAGTGAAAATTTCTTTTCTCCTTTTCTTAATTTCTTCCTCGTTATGACATGACAATTAGCCAGAAATTAATTAATTTCCATTCACTAGTATTTTCAAAAAAATTTAACGGACAGTTTCACTCATATAAGAACTCCACAACATACATCCCTCAAGAATTCCTAGGCCCTCCCACTCCCATAAATTACTTCACACAAGTCTTACTGACTGATATAATTCAAAGCCCCCACTGCCGATAAAGAATTTCGGAAAATAACCCTTCCGAGTCAGACACGAAGGACAACACTTTGCGCACTTCCCACTAGAAAGAACGTAAGTTAATTAATGCTTTTTCTGGCCTTTTATATCTTTATGTACATTCCCTTTTCTTATTTTATATACTTTTTTAATTTAAATTTTTATTTTTTATTTTTTGATTTGTTTTTGCAAAGATTGCATTATATTTCTTATATTTTGTAATTTTCTAATGTTTATTTCAATTACGTTCAGTTCTATTTCATAATGCCAATTTCCAATGTTTAATTTTTACAAATAGTTTTGAATTAAAATGCATAAACACGAGGGTGTCGGGGGACAATTACTCGAGTAATATCAATTTTACTGCAGAAATTGCTTTTCACTCAAAATTGAATTAGCTAAAATGCTTAATCGGAATGAGTTCTTTGGTGCTCTGCATTGGTTCTTGATCCCTTCCATTCATGGAAATATTTGGCCTAGCTTGAATTGCCGGTTTGGCATCGCCTCATTACTTGAGTAAAGGAAGAAACACCCTTCGTACTTAATTCTTAGTTATTGTTCATTGAACGGGAGTGGGTTTGTTCCCCTTGAAAAGTCAACTAATTTCCAATCAATGGCAATGATTAGTTGCATTTAATTTAATTACTTGCTTTTAATTTATTTCTTTTTACAATTCAATTTTGTTATTCATGATTTAATTCAAGTCCCCGTTAAACATTTTTAACAATTTACATTCAAGTTACTTTAAAACAATTTACATACTTACTAACTATGGATTCACTATTTTAAGATAATTTTACTAAAATTAAACTTAGGAGATAATATAATCAATATTTCTCCTAAGATTAATTATAGTAGAATGATCTGAAAAGAGTGAATCCGTATTTAGTAAGTTCTATTTCGAAAGATGTTTTAAGTAACTTGAATGTAAATTGTTAAAAATGTTTAACAGGGACTGGAATTAAATCATGAATAACAAAATTTCAATTGTAAAAGGAATAAATTAAAAGCAAGAATTAAATGCAAGTAATCATTGTCATTGATTGGAAATTAGTTGACTTTTCAAGGGGAACAAACCAACTCCCGCTCAATGAACAATAATTAAGAAATAAATACGAAGGTGTTTTGACCTTTACTCGAGCAATGAGGCGATGCCAAATCGGCAATTCAAGTCAGGCCAAACATTTCTGTGAATAGAAGGGATTAAGAACCAATGCAGAGATCCAAAGAACTCATTCCGATTAAGTATTTTAGTATAATTTAGTACTAATTCAATTTTGAGTGAAAGCAATTTCTGCAGTAAAATTTATATTGCTCGAATAACCATTCCCCGACACCCTCGTGTTTATGCATTTGAGTTCAATATTATTTGTAAAATAAAACATAGTCAATTGGAAATTGTCATTATGAAATAGAATTCAAAGTAGTTGAAATAAACATTAGAAAATTACAAAATATAAGAAAAATAATATTTAAAAATAAAATGAATGTACATGAAGATATAAAGGCCAGAAAAAGCATTAATTAACTTACGTTCTTTCTAGCTGGGAGTGGGCAAAGTGTTCTCTTCGCGTCTGACTCAGAAGGGTTGTGTTCAGAAAACT